CCGAACATTGTTTGTTTGGGGGGGGGGGGGCACGTGTCATGTCGCGTTCGCGCATCTTCGCCGCGCGCGGCATATGTATCACTGGTGTGGGGAAGAGAACTCATAAAACGTCGCGAGCGCAGTGTCGCCTACTCACCCTACTATTCAGGGAAGAGGCATCGTACGTTGGGGATTCTCAGCGGGGACTGTATCTGGTTCTTGGAGGCAAAGGAGAGGGGGAGGGGTAGGATAAACTTTGGAATATTTTTGATCTGTCTTTTCTCCGTTTCGCTGTACATTTCCTTCCGTGGTTGGTTGTGCGACAAAAGCACCATTTTTGACATTGATTGTGGGTGTCAACACCCCCTCCGCCTCACGACAATTTTTTGGGATCTGATGAGGTCTTGTAAGGTGATGGACTGTGGAAGGGTTTCTTCGGAAGACAAAACTTGGGGGAGGATCGCACTTGGCTAACAGCAAGATCCTTGAGGGACTCTGGAGGAAGGACGCACCAATAGGAAAAGCGCAACGGTCATCAGTCTCCGCCTATCCGATTATCGCGGTGTTTTAATCCAGTTTTCTTTTTCCTTCCTCTGTACCTTAAACAAGCCTAGTGCAACTAGTCAACTAAAGAGCTAATCCAAGTTGAAAAAACCTGTTTTTTAGATCACCTGGCCCGAGGCAGCGTCATTATTCCTTGTCTATTTAACCTACTGCACAATAATGAAATTCAACGTCCGTCTCGAGGAATGGGTGAAAGTATCGCTACTCGGCGAGAAGCTCGATGTCGATGAACCCGAGCAGACTACCCTCAACGAGCACATAATCACAATCAACGGAAATAATGTGAGTGAGAGAGGGGGATTCTTTGCGGGTTCCGAAAAGTTAATTTCATTTTTTCATGAAGACAGTTATATAGGGGCTGTTCGGCTTGGGAGGGACATTTTTTATTTCGCTAGTTTCTTTTGCTATTTCCTGTTGAATTACATAATGAAAATCTGATCCGATTGACAGAAACCACCAAAATGCCCCCCCAACGCCGGACTGTGCCCTCAATTCATGTTCCCTATTATTTATTTTCTATCTGTCACTATGCTTTTCCCCTGAATCTTACATACTGTGAGCGATTGAAGAGACCATTCCGCGATGGTCAAATGGGCGGAGACTCACAACCATTGTGTCTCTCCATCGCTACGTCGCTCCTTCTCATTAGAGTCTTAGAAGGAAGAGCGCATAAGTAAGATCGGCACAACGGTTATGAGTCTCCCATTCATCTGATAATCGCGGTTTTTTTAGTTTTGGCATGTTTTTTTTGCTTTTTTTATTTTTTCTCATTTTGCTCCGGCTAGAACTCCCAGTAAATCTGGTCTAGAATTGTAGAGGAAAAGGAAACATAGTCTTACTTTTTAAGAACACAACTCAGCACATCGAGTACAAGGATCCCGAAGATGGCATGGTAATGGGGGAAAGGAGCATGTCCCTCACACGCAGGTAGGATTCACTTGTGAAAATGGGCAGACAACTCGTAATACTACTATTTCAGACGGTCGTCCATCCCAATCCTTCATTCAGGAACCATGTTCCGTACGGGAATCATGCAGCTCATGCATCAGACCCTCGATGAAGTGCCCGAAGGTAGGCAAAAATACAATTCATTCTGGCGCTATTCGGCTTGGTGGGGGCATTCTGCTGGTTCCTATTGATCACTACCCATGGATCTTGTGGATACTTGTGAACTCATGTGAAGCTATGCAATAGCAGGAGGAACACAGGGCACATCATTGGAGGGGATTTTAGTCGAGTCCGTTCGACCCCTCCCCCTTTTTTGGGGTTGGCACGACCCCCCCCCCTCCCAACAATGAGCAAGTACGACCCGTCCTCCTTTTACAACGTCCGTGAAAAATCAACTATCAAAATAAATTTTTTCAGCCCAAATACGACCCCTCTCCTGGCGGCCAAATACGACCCCCTCCCTGTTGGGGATTCCCCAACAACGATGTGCCCGTAGCAACAGCTCATGCTGGAGCTAGCTGGCTTAGATGGGGTTTGAGAGAGGGATGGATCCCAATGTTGACCCTAAGTGAAAGAAACGTGGGGTTACCCAGTAAACCCGATATCACCCATGCACTCTTTGCCGATCTCTCATTTTCACCTCCTTACATAGGGCCCATTATGGGGGGGGGATAGCAACGGCGTTCCGCAGTCGTTCCCATGAGACTCCTCGTCTCCATCAAAATGACAGCAACACTAAACGGATTTTCGTCAGGGTCTCCCTGGATAATGGCTAAATTTCAGGCGGAAGCGAAGAAGATTCGACAACTCGACGCTCCGCGTCAACGCCGTCACCGCCGCCCATGCCGGTAGGTTCTACCGTAATATTGCACGAGATGGAGCTACATTTCACAACAAAGAGTTGTCAAAGCGTATTTGATACCAAAAAGGTAGTGTTCAAAACTTAGAAAATGAAATTTTCACTCATCGTTACCGCACCTCGTGGACAATTCGTGATCACGGGAGCAGGGTCAGAGAAGTCCCATGAACGGTGCGCATGTAAATTGACGCGTTGTAGGAAAAAAATCAAGTCCCAATATGTAAACTCCGGTTAGAGAGAAGTCAGCTCGCTGTTAACCCCAGAT